GTAGCATCTAATGTGTCATCCCAGTCAATTCTAATGAAAGACATAGACCAAACAACAGAACTGATTTTTTACTATTGTATACTATCAAGACAAACATATTTTTCCCATCAACAACATGCCACAGGACATTGCTCCAGACAAAAATAACATGTGCACATAACCATAAGCCTCCATAGCATTAAAACCTACACAGAATTTTATAGATTGTTGTAGGTATCCTCATCTATGTCGACTGTATGTACAATAGCTGAGGCCCTAGGAAATATATTATTTTGGTCATAATTTAATCATAAAATAGGTAGTGATCTACAAAGTTACTACCCCGTACTATATGCACTGATTTTACCTTTCTTTCTCTTGAGGAATAGTTTCTTCATCACAACTGGCCATTTGTTGAACCCCCTCGACAGAGAAATCAGCTTCTCTGTAATTCACACACACGCACACACATACAAATAAATACACAGCTAACACATGATAATTGGTAAGCCCTTTTCTGTTCAACATTCCTACGCACATGCACCACTCAGTTTGTTTGCTGGGAACTTACTGATCCGACAGTGAATCCTGACTTGTCGATACATCTGGAGGCTTTGGTCTTGGCCACTGAGTGTGAGTCAGCAGTGTGGAGGCGATGTTATCATAGCTGTAACAAATATAGAATTTTAAACATATTAGTTCTTTGTTTATATAAAATCCAAATATAACAGATATTTACGGCAGCGTAGAGCTGCCACCCTACGCAAAATAAAATTGGAGCGATATCACGTTATAACATATTAACTTTATTGTTCTAACAATATAACTTTCACGTTTGTACAATATAATTATCACGTTTGTACAATATAAATATCACGTTTGTACAATATAACTTTCACGTTTGTACAATATAAATATCATGTTCATACAATATAATTATGACATTCGTACAATATAATTATGACATTCGTACAATATAATTATCACGTTTGTACAATATAATTATCACGTTTGTACAATATAATTATCACGTTTGTACAAAATAAATATCACGTTCATACAATATAATTATCGTTTCACACGAAACGACACACGACAGAGAGCTGGCAGATCATCTCCCGGAAACATGGCCTCAAACACAGACACCCCACTTCTGAGATTTTTACGGAACCGTGGTGTACCTGAAGACTGTCTCTTACGAATGCTACAAGATGGTGTAAGTGCTCTCTTTCAAGGAACATTTGTAAACTTTTAAGCAGGTGTGCTTGAAACGTGTGCTGTGCTATTTTAGTAAGTAACTTACTAGAGCCAAGCCAAAGGGATCACAATTCGCCCACTTTGGAGCACGTTTGGTTATTTAACGGTGTCTAAATCACCGTCTTTAAACTTAAAACGCCGAAAAAAGACTGCGGTCAAGTGAGCCGTCGTTCGTCTGGCCTTGGTCAAGTGAGCCGCAGCTAGAATTGAAGTGCGCGTTTATACGGTAGTTTATGGTAACACCGTCTGCAGGAGAAGAGCTGAGTTGAGCGACAGAATGGGCTGAAATCAGGATGACAGAGCTGCTAAATGTGCCTTATTGATACACACATACTAAGTACCTCAAGTACTACCAATTACTACTAGGCTTTTCTTAACTGTCCATTTACGAATCTTTGTAAAAACACGAACCAAGTTGGCTTTTACTTTGAACTCTCCTTAGCTAAAAAAAGGAAAACCCGTTTCTTTACGAGTTCTCATGAGGGCTGATTTGACCAGGAAAGATATGTAAAACATTGATTTAGCTTTTTCCAAATGAACTGAGCGTTTAATTTTCTGTAGAATAAATGATGTGGAGCATCTAATAACACTGCTGGCACAGATTGAGGATAAAAATAATAGAATTTCATAGAATGGCATGACAAATCATTGTCATAGCACAAGTAAAAATTACATTCAGCTTCATTAATTAAATGTATTGTGACTGGCAGTAGGTGTCTCTTTGTAAAGTAATAAATGTCTCTGTTATTTCAGATTGATGCCACAGTGATTGATTTCATGGATGATAAGACCCTGTCTGGTTACATCCCAACATATGGTGATAGGATAGCTGCAAGACGGTTCTGTTTGGATAATAATGATGCAAGGACAAAGGAATCAAGAAAAAACTCATTTCTTGAACAATTGAAGAAAAAGATGGGCATCGATGAAAATGGGAAGAACCCCGATCAAGATGATAAGTTATCTTGTAAGAGAAAAAGAACATATGCACAAAACAACAAATGGGCTCAGAAAAAGACTAGAAAAATTGAGCTGGGCTGGATCCATGAAGGTAAGCAAGTGAGAAAGCGCAGAGGAGGAGGAACAAGGACCTTTGATGTTCCCAAAGACTCCAAGAAAGCTGACTTATTACAGTATGCCAAGGATCTTTTCTTTCCAAATGGAAAAAGCAGATTTGGAAGATGGGATGTGTTCAGATGTGATGTATTAGACTATCAGGAAGAGGCTGTACTTGATGACGACATCTCAGTTGGGGAGCTCTACTCAATACTTAAAATGGGAATGTTGAGATTTTACTTGTGCACAAGAAGACTTTCTTATGAAGATGAAGGCGAAGAAGATGAAGTTAGTGATAGAGGGGAAACATGTGAAAATGTGACACAACTGACTGACTCACATCAAGAAGATGAGGAAGCTTCTCAGACTGTTGTGATCTTGTCATCAGATTTCAGGAATTCTGGTGAAGAAGCATCATCAGACACATCTGAGGTAATGATTGGTCCCTACCTTGGAGAACCTCTGGCTTGTCACCTTGATGACACATTAATAGGTGAAGCAAACCTGCAGTTAGAAGGAGATGATCTGGTCATCACATCCATTACATTTCCTCCAGCAAGCACTCCAGGCAGTTATACAGATACACCTATAAGCAATGAAGCAATGAGTTCTTCTGCATCATATGAAGTAGTCTGTGTCACCATCAAAATCCACAGGGTTAACATTCTGGAGGAGATGATCAACCAGTTAAAAGATACAGCACTCCTGAGACACCCATTAAAATACACCTACATTGATGAAAAAGGAGCAGATGCAGATGGTGTATCAAGAGATGTGTATGCTACATTTTGGGCAGAGTTTGTTGACAACACAGCTGAAGGAGAGGAGTTCAGAGTGCCATCACTGTCTCCTAAATGGCAGGAGGAAGAATGGAAGTCCATCTGTAGAATTTTACTGAAGGGATTTCAAGACCATGGATATTTCCCTTGTCGCCTTGCCCGTTTTCACAGTGGCACTTATCTTTGGTGAAAATCAAGTTACAGATGATATGTTGTTTGAAAATCTCCTCTTATACCTAAGCCAATCAGATCGGGATTTAATAACAAGAGCTCTAAAGGAAGGTCTTTCAGAAGAAGACAGGGATGAACGTCTGGATCTCATGGATCGCCTGGATGTATCAGTCATCCCAACGCAAAAAAACTTAAAAAGCATTCTTCGGAAAGTTGCTCACAAGCAGTTGATCCAAAAACCATCTTATGCCATGGAGAAAATTTCATTAGTTGCATGTCACTTTCTAAAAGAAGCTTTCCAAAGCCCACAACATGTCCTACAAATGTATGAAGATAAAAAGCCAACAACAAGAAAGCTTTTGAAGTTGCTCACTGCATCTCCCATCTCTGAAGCCGAGAAGCAGAGTTTCAGATTTCTGCAGCAGTACATCAGAGGACTTGATGATGCAGGCCTCAGAAAGATGTTCCGGTTTGTTACTGGGTCAGATGTCATCTGTGTTCAGAAAATTCAAGTGCTGTTCACACCTGTGGATGGACTGGCACGACGCCCTGTGGCACACACGTGTGGCCCCGTTCTGGAAGTACCATGGACATACACGTCCTACCCAGAACTACGAAATGAACTGGATAACATTTTGGCAGCCAAAAACTGTTATGAGTTTAGCATAGCTTAAGGTCTCTCATGTTTAAAACCCTAGAAACAAAGAGTTGAAGAAACAACATGGTGCTAATGTGTTTGTTAAGCCCCCCTCCGCAGTGAAGACATTATGAAAAATGAAAGAGCTAAAATTTCAGGAGATGTTTTATTAGTAACCAAAAAGGCTTTTGAATATATTTGAGTCTCTTGGAGGGTATGCCACATATTCTCCATCATCAAAATGTACATTTCAGTTTACAGTTTAATACATTAAAGCTTTACTGCTCGAAATGAAGCATGTTCAATCCATTCATACACTATGAAAGTTGGACAGTGTTTATAATGATAATGTTTTCATGATCTGACAAGGTTTCAACAGGTCTGTTTCATAAAGATGTCTGTTACAGCTCACGTTTTTTAGTAATGATTCAAGCATTACTATTGATTATTTTCAGGAGTTTTTTTTTTACTGTGTGCCAGTTATTTGATTTAGAACATATGTTCAGGAAGTTCTTAACAAATTTGCATGTCAGTCTGTGGATTGATGCAAAAGTTGACTGGAATAAGATTCACAGAAGATAGCCATTGGCAAAGTTAATTATGTAGCTTCTCAAGAGTGCATTTTTTCTTCTTGAATTCAAATAAAAGGAAGGTTAATATCTAACTACGTTTGTTTATTGTTCAATAATTCTGAATCGTAACATTAACTGTTCAAAAGTTGATAGCAGTTTTATATATGTTGAATCTGAAACACAGATGTCATGAATATCAACTGTCATGTTCAGAAATTTAAAAAATGGTTACTCATCAATCTGAAAATAGAAATCAGATATAGCAGAAATGAAGTCATTAAAATGTTTTGAGAAGACGAAAGGTTAAGGTTCTTCAGTGCCTTTTTCCATTGCCACTGATTGATTAATTAATTTATTTTTGACTATTCAATTACTTCAAAGTTGTAATTTGCATTAATAAACATAGGCGGCAAAGGCTTTTGATAAAAGGAAACAAAACCAAGGAAATTCCCATGACTGTTTCGGAAAATCATATAAAAATGAACTATATTGTTTATATAAAGCTGTGAAAAGACAGATTTGAAAAGATAACATCCCAAAATGAATCAGATTACCTTTAGTTTTAAAATCTAACTTCAGAAAATAACATTCTCTTGTTTTTTCAAAAAAGGAAGCAGATAACATATCTTTCTCTAAATTTGAATTCTAGTTGTATCATTTACTATAGGACAAAAAGTATCAAAGAAACTAAACACAGGTGGTGATCACATGGACATTTGATCACCAATGATATCAATATGGTATAAATATATGCAAATATGTTGCAATACTTCCATACATTCCAAATGTTTTTTGAAGTTTATAAGTCCTTCAGTATGTAGGCTCTCAGGAAGAGATACAGTTCAATGGCTTCATCTGCTGTGCTTGGTGGAAGTAAGAAGTTCTCTGACATTAAAAGGCAACACAGGCTGAATACTGTTTCATCGCAGGTATATGGTCCTCTCATTTGGCATTCTTCTTTACATGCATCCACTGCCTCCTGAGAAACCTCTCTCAGATGATCATGTCCTCCAAAAAGATGTGGAATGGTGTACATAAGAATTGGACGTCCACTTGGAGCAATTGCATGTCTGCTTCTGCGGATAATATGGGTGTTCCACAAATGCACAACTTGCTGCAGCTCCTCCTGTAAAATATTAGCAATTTAAAAGATCCACTATCAGTAAAATATCAAGATTTTTGGTTTAGCATTTTAACCCACAAGCATCACATGCAGCCAGTCAGGGAAACAATCAGATTTTATGAAAAAAAATGTACTCATAATTACGAATAACAGTGGCGCGAGCAAAATGGAGTTGTCAACAATGGAAGCTTTTTTAAGTATGACCAGAACATTACCACAATAAGCCTGGTCTTGTACACACACACACACACACACACACACACACACACACACACACACACACACACACACACACACACACACACACACACACACACACACACATGCTTAGCGGGTAAATACAGGCGTGGTGGCCTACCTCAATGATGTTCAGGCAGGTAAACAATATGAGCTGCTTGTCCAAGAAGCATCCAGAGAAACAGTCTTTGTCCTTTAGTTCCTGGAGACGATTCATCCAGTGCTGAGCGTGGTGCCGTCTCAGAAACGCCCACCAGCCTTCAATTCGCTGATTGTGATTGCTGGACCCAGTGATAAAACTGTTTCTGACATTTTGATCCTGAGTCCATCGCAGGAATCTCTGCATCTCAGCCATTATGACATTTTCTGTTCCTAAATCAGAGCGAATCCTTGCAGCTGTGCCCATCCTCTTCTCAACTTCTGTGATGAAATAACCTGCGATGACTTTGGGGTCGTTGTTTGTTGAATAGGCATGAAGCCAAATCATTACTCTTGAAAAGCCATCAATCCCTCCATTTATGCAGATTCCAAATGGTTTTAGTTTGTCATAGGAGTCAACATGCCACATGAAATTCGGTCCAGGATTAACATACGTGCGGCGCGTTAGGCGATTTCTGCGTCTTTGCGCAACCCCATGAGGGTCAATATATTTCAGTAAATGTCTCACAGTGCTCTGCGTGACAACATAACCCGCCTGAATGCAGTTCAGGTGGTGTAGTTTGTATCCATGAAGCCTCCCGTACCCCTGCAGTTGATCTATGAGAAATGCAGCAACCTCCAGCGGGTCGGAGTCATTCTTCCTCCTGTACAGCCCCATGCGTTTTAAGTTCCTTCTCAGCGTCCGCATGCTTATTTCAATACCGTCCAAGCTGCTCATCAAGAGCAACATCTCTCCGTGCCTCATTCCAAGCATGAAATAGAATTTAATGAGTTCCAATAGACGAGACATTTTCTCACTCACTCAAAACGTGTTATTTATATATATTGTACAAACGTGATAATTATATTGCACAAACGTGATAATTATATTGTACGACCATGATAATTATATTGTACGAATGTGATAATTATATTGTACGAATGTCATAATTATATTGTATGAACATGATAATTATATTGTACGAATGTGATAATTATATTGTACGAATGTCATAATTATATTGTATGAACATGATATTTATATTGTACAAACGTGAAAGTTATATTGTACAAACGTGATAATTATATTGTACAAATGTGAAAGTTATATTGTTAGAACAATAAGTTATATTGTTAGAACAATAAAGTTAATATGTTATAACGTGATATCGCTCCAATTTTATTTTGCGTAGGGTGGCAGCTCTACGCTGCCGTAGATATTTCATATGGATGTCCACAAATATTTTTTTAAGTATATTTTTCTGAAGGTCTTCCAGCTCTACATTTGAAACTACCTCTAATAAATGTATGCTATACTAAATATGACATTTCCTTACGTGTTTTACTTTATTGTTTGATTCATGCATCAGGACATTGTTTTTAATGTCTCCGCTCAAAGATGTGTTCAGATTCAGATGCAGCAGCCCCCTGTCCGCATGTAAGAAAAAAACATAAACTAAACGGTGCTTTGCGGATCGATGAGCCGACTGTTTCCACTACACTCTCGAAGGATTCAGGATACAGACGGCGGAACGGTCGGAAGGATTCTGTGTCAGCAAAGTGCATCTCTTTGGGTAGATAGGCATAAAATCCTAGACTGCTCTGTCTTTGCAGCCACCCTAGACATACTTTCTGAAACTTGAAATGACGTTCGCGGCGACGCATCAACAATAAAACAACTAGAAGCATTTCCCCTATTTACAGCTCTCTCGCCGTTTGTTTATTTTTTCACATGCAGACAGGGTGCTGCCATGTTGGAATCATGTGAGCAGAGAACGCGTGTTGTTTGGCCAGTAGAATATTTCAGAAACTGATGTGCGCAAACAAATAAAAAACAGGTTTTATTTTCATACAGTTCTAGCAGTAATCTCAAATGCATTCCTCCAAATAGCATGCCACGCATGCCGAACTTTAGCTTACCTGTCGAGCAGAAAACAGGCAACCGCAGCTTCTGTGGACAGCCCAACCGTCTTTCAGCGAACGCCAACGTTGAAAAGAGTCTCCTAAAAACACTCTGGTCTTATTTCTCACTTCAGAGGCCTTTCTCTTCTTTTCGTAGACTTCGAAGACACCTTTTCTCTTGCGACTCTCAGCCATTTTCAAAAGAACCCGTTGAGATAAAAGTGTGCAACACGTTGAGAAAGAGTGCTAATGCGCAAGGAGAAAACTGACCCAGGGGAGAGCACGTACGACGGACTCACGCTCGCCAGAATGATTGACAGTTATGCAGACCAATGGTTGACGTGATCCACCCGGAAATAAAAGATCAGTTGCTATACCTTTAAGCACTGTTATCGAATATCGCAGGTTTTCCTAATATCGTGCAGCCCTATCTCAGACACAAATTTATCATCCAGCATGTTGTTCAGAAATGTTTCAGCCTTTCTCTGCGTGCATTCACGAAGGAAAGTAATGATTTCTTTCCTCAGTTCACAGACTCTCATGAGTGCATTTCCCTGGCTTAACCGCCTCACATTGTTTTGCAAAAGTAGGTCAGCATGCTCAGCTGACATATCAACAAGAAGTTTACGAAACAGTCTGTGAGTGCGTTTACATGCAGCCAGTAACCCTTTTAAAACCCGAATATTCACAATAACCCGGTTCCGCAGGTCCTTGTAAACACCACCAAAAACCCGGATATGCTCATAACCGGGTTTTTAAGAACCCGGTTACTACACCTGGGGTAACCCTTTTCTAACCCGAATGTTTGGTCGTGTAAACGCATATCGGGATATCCCCATCAAAGCGTTCTGCGCATGCTCTGCTCGCAAGGAAACTTGGTCTTTTGAGTAGCGAGATGTCTTGTATGCGTCAGAACACCGGAAGTAAACAACAAGTTGGGAGCAACATGGCGAGTCGCGGCACAGCACCACACTTTGAGTGACGAGGAAACTAAAGCACAAACAAGCGCGGCCGCTATCTCTTCCGAACTGGGAAACATGTTGTTGTTTTCATGGATACTGGAACAAGAAGAACAGGAAATGACGCATATTGCGTCTGGACGTAGTCCATACGTCCTGACGCTACCCCAACATCTGCATTTAAATCGGGTTATGCAAGTTAGAGGTAACTCTTTCTATTTATGCTTGTAAATGGGTTATTCTGATCAACTCAGAAACCCGAATACCGACCTTAACCCGATCATAACCCGGATATTGGCTGCATGTAAACGTAGTCTGTGTTAGAGACCAGATGTTGATCTGATAAAGTTAATTGTAGCCATGACAGAATCCATTGTTTTTCAACTCACCACTTAATTGTACTCAAAGGACACTCAGGTGGAGGAGACAGTGCAGCGACTTCATTTTTGGCGCAAGTGCAGACAGCCATGCAGACAATCCTTTGATCTTCCCTGCCATCGAAGGTGCACCATCTGTAACAAGCAGGTTAATACACTCCAAGTCCAGTCCATTCTCTCAAAAAAAAATCCACAATCTTCTGGAAGAATATTTCTCCTGTTGTATGCCCTTCAAGTGGTATTAATCCCAATATGTCCTCTTTGAAACAGTGACCATCACAAAAACGCTCAAACATACAAAGTTAAGCAACATCCGAGTTGTCCGTTGATTCATCCACAGCGAGGGATATGAAATCAGCCTTCCTCAGTTGATCAAGAAGAGTGTCAAAAACATCTGTGGCTAAAGCATCCACTCTTCTCGCAGTGGTTGTATTGGACAGTGGAATTGATTTAATTGAAGTTATAACTTGCTCTTTCACTTTTTCATCCGTCACCACTTCCTCAACAGCAGTTTGTATGCATTCTTTCACTGTTTCAGCATCTGTAAATGGTCTTTTATTTTTAGTCAATAGCCATGCGATTCGCAGAGATGCTGTTGTAGCTTTCTGCTCCAACGTGCAGGTTCGGGTGAAATGCACACAACTTCGCTGATAGTTTTGGCTCAGTGTCTTTATTTTTATCTGTCGAGCCTCTGAGCCTGGTGGATATTCATTGTCAAAGTTAGCGTGACTCATCTTGAAGTGCTTTCGCACGTTGTATTCTTTATTTACCGAGCAAATGACGAGACAGACAAGGCACATGGGTTTCCCTTCAGCATTTTGAATGTGTGCATACTTATCAGTCCACTTGTTGTTAAATCTTCTATTTTCAGTGTCAATTTTACGTCTCTTCTCTATTGAATGTGACATGTTTTTTCCAAGAAACTGCTGTTAGAAATTGTCATATACTTTCCATCAGGAGCTGCGCAACTTGTTTTCAAACCTGCCGTTTACAGGCACTGAAGAGCATAACAGTGTCACGCCCCAAAACGTGCCATAAAATGTCGCAAAATGTTGTAAACTGCCGCGATTAAGGTTTAGCCATCGGCTGCAAATAACTGCGACACTGCTACTTAAAAAACTATTTATCAAGAATTATGAAGACAATGGGCCGGTCCAAAATGCTTGATGGGCCGGTGCTGGCCCTTGGGCCACCTATTGACAGTGTTGGGCAAGTTACTTCAAAACTGTAATACATTATTTATTACTTGTTACCCTCATTTTAAAGTGATTCATTACATTACAATATTACTGATTTTAAAATGTAAGGCATTACACTACTTTTGCATTACTTTAAGTTACTTTCAACAAAACAACTTCAGTATGAGTTTGGTAATCTGATGCCTGGTGAACTCATGACACATCCGGTGGAAGGTGATGTGGTGTCTGAGCTAGGATTGCTGTTAAAACAGTTCTTTAGAAGGATTGTTTATGTAATAAATGCAACAACAAACTGTACTCTCAGCACGCTGCCATCTTAGATTAACTGAGCGGCGAGTGAGGTGGTGGGGGCTCCAAGTCTATTTAGCCTTGGTCCCCAAATGCCTTGATATGGCCCTGGATGTGGGACTGACTTCTGGTGTGATCTGATTCTATCACATTTATAAATATTAAATGCTTATTTATTATTGCTTTTCACTGGTGAAAATGTGTATTGGAGATAAAACCACCTTATTTCTTTTCAAGCACTTTGTTTTGTTTTCTTGATTTTATTTGAATAATTTCCTGCCCTTTCTCTCTCTAACCGTCCTGCTGCATGTTCTCTCCGTCTTCCAGAAAACCCGTTTCCTAGATTTCCTACTTTCTAACTAATCAGCCAAAGGGATCTCCACGTGTGCGGCGCTCCAGCAGCAATGAGTTGAAATCACCGGAGCCCAGATTAAATCAGCTGAGGCAAAGCACGTCAGAAAAGAACACAGGATTTTAAGGTTGCTGTAATCAAACCTTCACTTAAGAACATGCGCTGATATGAACGATCGCAGGTGAATTATTTTGTTTTAGTGGAGCGATTTTGTGAATGTTACAGCGGCCGCGCGCAGGATGCAGCTGGAGTAGTTGAGCCGGTGTCGGTACAGTATCTGCTCGGGTGCAAGATCGGCTCGGGGTCCTTCGACTGCCGATGACGTCAAAGTACGGCAAACCGACTCGGACAAAATACACTACACGTCTATACTGTTGGAAAGAATTTAGCACTTTCGTTATTAAAATAACGTTTCTTAAGATGTAAGTTTGTGTTTATAATGGTATTTGTAAAATAAAACACTATATCTTATTCATAATGTTGAACTCCTCTTTGAGCACATCCCTTGAAGAATCATAGGTATTAGCAACACCTGTGAAATTTGCAGGAAAGAAGTGTGTCCCGTTTATTTAAGTATTTTGTGTTTAGAGTTTTTGACATCTTGTCATAGACTGTAGCTGCTAGCCAAAACTCTGGAGTTAAAAGTTTTCTGGCTTTACTAAAAAACCTGTCTGTACTTATTTGATTGATGGTATTTTTACTTTCTATTAGACTCCAAATGTAATCATTTGGCACGTTTGTAATTCATTATTTGCAATAATGTAATCGGCGATATTAGCATTAGCATTCCTATGGGTTTTTCCATGTATATTAGCATTGCGCTAACCACTCGCTGCCAAATTGCAGCCTTTGCCATTAGAAAATCTTCTTTTGTCACATCGCAATTTCATTGCACATGCAGTTAATCGTTCAGCCCTATTATACTTGCAGCTCTATGCTAAAAGTGTATTTTCAAAGAGGTAATGATGGATTTCTTTGTAAAAGTTGTCCATCTTTCCAATAGAAAAAAATTTGCCTGGACCAACGTCACGTGATAACAACGTTACGTGATTACGTAATTCCGTAAGGTCATGTTCAGCCAATCAACTACTTAGACGTCATCGGCAGTCGACGGACCCGAGCCGATCTTGCACCCGAGCAGATCTTGTACCGACACCGGTACCGCTATGTCCTCTCTGCCCGCAAAGCTGAGTCCATAAATGACGTAATATATGCAGATACTGGAACTTTTTTCGGGTTTCCCGCAATTTGAATTTTTAAGGAACGCAGCTTGATTCTGGGTTTAAAAATGCATTGTAATTACCGCGTTACTGACAATTGTACCGAGTAAATATTACCATTTTCTTTCCCTGTAATGCCTTACATTACCACATTACAGCAAAAAGCAATGCATTACAGTAATTAATTACTTTTGTACTGCGTTCCTCCCAACACTCCCTATTGAATACAGATGGCTTAGAGACTAAAGCAAGCTAGTTGCTAGCTTATGTGGCTTGACTAGTTATATCAATACAAAGTCATCTTGTTTCTCGTTTTAAATTATATTAATAATTTTAAAATATCTATTTATTGCCCAGTCCTAGTTGTAGCCTATACTACACTGCTTACATTATTTCAGAATTCAGAATTTAATTTCACTATGTAAAAAAAATAAATACAGTCAATTGTAGAAAGCCTCTTTCTAAGATGAATAATAAAGCATCATTGGAATAATTTAATTTCTAACCAATGAGTAGACCAATAGAGATGTCAAATATTTACATTTCTACACTTAACTTACCTTGACATTTCTTGATGAACTGTAGACCGAGGGATAGTCTGTTGAGGTGTTGTCGCTGGTGTTGTGCGCTGTGGCACAGTTGGTGTTTGTTGCGGGCCCTCTGCTTGTAGATGAGCATTCAGTAAATCCATAAGGTTTCTCGCAACTTCTCGGATGGAACCAGTCTAAAGAAATAAAACAAAAAACACAGAAAAAGTTGTATTTGGGTATACAGCAAATAAGAAACACCTACAAATTGAAAAAAAATGTAACTGGCTTGCACATTTATTGAAATTTATCAAGTCCAAGACCTACAAAGCACTTTACACAACAGTCACACCCTTTTCAGATGCTTATGGTGGTGATAAGCCAGATAGTAGCTACAGCTGCCTGCTGAACACTGGCACCACCGGTCCCTACGACCAACAACAGCAGGCAAAGTTGGTTAAGTGTCTTGCCCAAGAACACAACAGCAGCACTCTCTGGTTGGAGCCGGGATGGAACCTGCTCATCAGCTCATCTCACACACCTGCTTCCCCTACTATATATTCACCAGTAAACCACCAGTTCCCTGCCAGATTATTTACAGCCCTGCCAGTAAATTCTCCAGCGATTCACCCTGCCTGATTTCTGCCTCCGGACCTTTTTTTCTCCTTGCACGCTGCCTGCCATTTCGACCTTCACCTGTCCCCGACTCTGTCTCCAGCCTCGCCCTCCTGGTAACTCTGCTGCAAATAAAGACTTTTTTAAATCTATTTTCACTGTGTTTGGCGTCTTCACGGGTCTTCCTAGTTCAGCTCATGACAATAACCATTAAAAACGAAGGTGGGAATACTAAACAAAAAACATCTACACTAGGTCCAGAGCTAGCATTGGGGACGAGTGATATGTTAGAGTAAAGCTCAAATCTGGTGAGGCCATTTTATAAAAGTTGTAGCTATCGTGAATAACCTAATCCACCTAGCTATGTGCCCCTGTTGTAATATTTAAATGCGAGGAGTCGTAAAAAGTAGCATAACAAAACAATTTAATGGAATAAACTGCAGCTAGTAGCATTGAAAAATAACTTACTTGAGCGTCTTCTTGGTTCTGGTCCATTTTGCTGGTGCAGGTGAAACTCCCGCTCCAGATCAGGGCAGGTTGTAGCCAGGCTGTTAGTGCGCAGATGCGGCAGCCACACAGGAAAATCCACAGAGCGTCAAAACAAGCGCACCCCAAAGAGGTTTGTTCCCACCCAGTCCCACAAGTTGTTCTGTTGGCTGAGCAGTTGCTATGAGATTGTACTTCCAAGTTTTGAGCAAGAGCAGACAAAATCCGTGAGAGCAGGGGACAGACTTGTGGGAGGAGTTTTGATCCGTGCAGAGAAAAAGCTGTCACCTGAGAAGACATTACCAGTGTAAGAAGGTTAAATCTGAGCACAGAAACAAAGATTTGAAGGACAACAGAGTGAATTTGAAAGAGAGCAGACATTTTGAGTGCAAGCATTACAAGTTTTGAGAGCAATAATATAAAATCTTATTCTCAAATGAAAAAGTTGGTCTCTTGATATGAAATTCTGCTCTCAAAATGAAAGTTTGTGCTCAATTTCTGGCATTTTAATTCTTCCACACCTCCAGAGTGCCAAAACTCCCAACAGCCGAGCGAGCAGAATCAGGAACCGAGCGCGCAGAAAGGCTGCCACGCGCATGTTTTCCTCTGCCGTGTGCTCGCTGGCCAATGCGCGCACGCAGGTTTGTCACTTGTGCACATCCTTGTGCGCTCACAGACACAGTTTGCTCCCTTACACTATGCCTCTCAGAAATCAAATCATGGTTCACCTCTAATTTCCTCAAACTCAACGGCAATAAAACTGAACTTCTTCTAGTTGGCACTAAATCCACCATCTCAAAATCTGACAGCTTTTCTTTAACTATTGGCAGCGCCATAGTCTCCCCCTCACCTCACGTCAAGAGTCTGGGTGTCATCCTCGACAGCTCACTTTCTTTTCAAGCTCACATTAATAACATAATTCGGTCAGCATACTTCCATCTACGCTCCATAAACCGTCTTCGCCCCTCCCTTACCCCTCACACTGCCGCCATTCTCGTCCACAGCCTCGTCACCTCCCGTCTCGACTATTGCAATTCACTTCTTTATGGTCTCCCCAACAAACTCCTTCATAAACTGCAACTGGTCCAGAATTCAGCAGCCCGTATTATCACCAGAACCCCTTCCTTTCACCACATCACCCCGGTTCTCCAGCAGCTTCACTGGCTCCCAGTTAAATTCAGGTCCATCTTCAAAATTCTCCTCCATACCTTCAAAGCAATCCACAACCTCTCTCCTCCATATATCTCAGACCTTATAAGTATTCACACCCCATCCCGTTCTCTCAGATCTTCTTCTTCCATCCATCTTGCGGTTCCTTCTGCCCGTCTCGCTACCATGGGAAGCAGAGCTTTCAGCCGCTCTGCTCCTCGTCTCTGGAACTCACTTCCCCCTGACATCAGGAACATCGACAGTTTTACCCTTTTCAAAACAAAACTCAAAACACATATGTTTAAATCTGCCTACAACCTCTGATTTTATTGAACTGTTTCTCTCTGTTTTTTTCTTCTTGTTTGGGTTTTATTATTGTTTTATTGTATTTTATTACGTGTTTTCTGTCAAGTGACCTTGGGTGTTCTGAAAGGTGCTTTTAAATAAAATGTATTATTATTATTATTATTATTATTATTATTATTATTATTATTATAAATAATTAGATGCCAGTTGCGACATTTAAAAAGTATATTATTGACTATCTGCTGGGAGCAGACGTAGGTATAAGATCTGAAATGGTAAAAAAAAAAATTTTTTAAATCCTCATCAGCAGGCTTTTTTGAAAGTGGGGGAACACAGCTGCCAATCATAAATTTTGCCGGGGACATGTCCCCGGCGTCCCTGGATAAAATGACGCCTATGGTTGTGACACCTCTGTCCACACGGGTTTTTCAGGGTTAAGTTCTTTAAACACGGGAAAGGTTTTTTCACCTTGCTGACACTTTCCATCACTTCTGCGATCTCTATCTCCTTATCCGGAGAATAAACAGAGAAGAAAATGACACCGCCATTAGCAATTCTAAGAGATCAAAACTGTCAGCAAGGTAAAAAAAAATAAATAAATCTTCCATGTGTAAAACAAAAAAAGGACTTAAAAATGCATTCAGACGAAAAACACAGAAGATTCCATTATATGTTTAGTAGCCACATATCAATTCCATTACACACACACACACACACACACACACACACTCACTCACTCACACACACACACACACACACACACACACACACACACACACACACACACACACACACACACACACACACACACACAATGCATTGATTCTAGATGAAGTAATGTCAGCTCAGGAATTCCTTGTGATAACAGTTCAGTCTGCTAGTGTAACAGCGCACACCCGCACAGTCACAGGTTCTGGTTTAGTTTTCGCTCATCGTGCTGCAAATGGTCACTAATCTCCATGTTTTTTCACCAGAGCCTGAAGTTTGATGAAGAGGCAGGAAGTCACCGAAAGCCCTTTCAGAATAAAGGTCTGTTTACTCCCACACACAGAAACATGCATGCACACACACACACATGCGCACACATGAACACACACACATACACATGCACGCATACACACAAACACATGCACACACACGCGCACACATGCACGCACACACACACATGCACGCACACACACACTTCATCTGGGATGTCTACCTTCACGAGTACCTCACGTTATTGTGGTTGTGACGTCAGGTGGCCTCTGCTTGACCACCATGTCGTCACAAAAAGGGGGGAATGTAACATGAGGAAATATGGGTTTTCTGTCACAATGGTGGTGCTGGACGCAGCTGGGTCATAGCTGGGTCGCTGAGAACTTTCACCCACAGATTAAGACCTGAACGCCAGCGAGTCTGGGAGGAAACCATAACATCTGCCACCTGCAGTCTACCAGAAGATGTGTTTACATGAGTTGTACCCAGACCAAGTCAAAACATAAAGTTTAAACTTCTTTTTCTTGATTTTAATGTTAAAGTAACCATTATCATTTTGCTCATTATAAATGTGTTTAATCAAATGAATGACTATTATGCTTTGGGGTAATTATAATGGTTTAATGAATCCATTCTTAAATAATGTTGAGAATGTTTGTTACTGACCTTCACACACACTCAAGCACAAACATTCACACACATCCACACACACCTGCTCACAGTAAACTCCAGACACATTTGATGACGCACGTTTGCTTTGAGAAGAGAAAGGTTTTTGGTAAGTTTCAGTCTTTTGATTTCAGTTCGTGTTGGGCAACGAGAGAGGAAGGACTTGTGAACAACCGCTAACGGGGAACGGAGCCCATGGGCTCAAACCCCCTCCCCACCCCCCCCACCCCCTTCTCTCACGCTGTTTCTGCCACGCCAAGCAGAATAGCTGAATCGCAACTTCTAACGCAGACTCATTACCGAGTCTTTTGATTTCTGAGTGAATTAACTTAAGAAAGCGCGTCGACAAAACGCTTTACCATCAACGTGTACCGAGGGCAACTCTGGACCGGTTCCGTTCGACACCTCGTCTCCTGTCAGCCGCCGGTGTCATCTGGATGAACCAACATCCTCCACGGCCCGGATCCGAAAGAGGGTCCACAAGAATTCGGTGAGACAGAACACGGTGTTTAGCGTTTTGATGCATCTTTTCCAACTAAAACCTAAGTTTATTCAAACCATCACTTTTCACTCAGACACCTGTTTCTTCCTGAAGCAAAATCAGATGCACACAAGCATCCATCGCACCTCATATCAATCTCACAAATCACAACATTCTCAATCTTATAAGTTCACCAGAAGGTCTGTTTGAGCAAGAACAGCATATAAACTGTTAAAAGATTGTCCCACAAAGTTGCCAATGTGATTGTTATTTCCTGTTTGTCAATTTTCAAAATCATTAGTTTAATTTGAAGAATTAAAACTTTTAATCCTTCAAACTTGTTTCCTCATTGAACTGAAACACAGACACTCAGATATTATCGGCAGTTTATGGATGAAAACAACCTTTGAGTCTTCTGAACAATATAAAATTTGGTTATTGATTTATTAAAATTAATATTCCGAATTAATACGTAGCATGGTTCCTCTTTCATAAAAGAGCATAAATCCATAACGCTACAGTGAAATCAACATATGTGGCAGTTGGCAGTATTATGCCCCCCAAGAAGGTGAAGCAACAATCCAAAGAAAACAAAAACGACGACGAACTTCAGTACGTGGGACAAGGAGACATGGCAGGTGCGCATGGTGACAGAAAAGAAATATCGGAGTTGATACGCTCTGTCATAAAGGAAGAGATCAGCGTTGTGGTTAATAAACTGAACGCGATTATGGATGATATTTCTACTTGTGTGAGAAGACTGGGTGATGTGGAGGAGACTTTACCTAAACTGGACAGTCGGATGTCAAAGTTGGAGTCGGAGAATGCAACGCTGAACAAATCCAACGCCGAGCTGAGAGAGAGGACGGAGCGGCTTGAAATGCAGAGCCGCAAATACAACCTTCGTGTGTTCGGATTGTCTGGTGACATTGGAAAAACTAGCCTGACTACTTATATGGACACGCTGTTTAAAGAATTGTTCAGAGGAAAACTTATGCGGGAGCCAGAAGTGGAGATGGCGCACTGGATTGGACCTAGGAGAGACGCAGTAGGAAGAGCGATGATGGTGCGGCTGCGGAGGCTTACAACAAAGGAGGAGATTATAAAGATGGCCAGAGAAGAACCTGTTTTCCAACTGCGTGGTATGAAGCTGAAGATTTTTCCAGATCTGACCAGTGAAATGGCGAAAAAACGAGCTGGCTTCTGGGAAATAAGGAGTAAGCTGAAGAAGGCTCAGCTGAGACATGGCCTGATTCATCCCGCTACCCTGATTCTGACTTTTAAAGATGAGACAAAAAGGTTCAATAAACCAAGTAAGGCTGAAGCCTACTACAAGACTGTGATTGAACCAGGGAAGAAGGATGGAGAATAATATGGACCAATTAAGAACAGTTTAATGAGTGTGAAGATGGACTGTGAGAATACTGTTTAGGTTATGTGAGGATTATGTTTAATTTTTATATAAGTATTAAATAACATCGCAAGATGGAAATGATAGCCCGCATAATAAGAGTTATAATTTGGTTATTTTTGTTTCTAGAGTTGGCGTGTAAAATGTTTTATTTCATTACAGTGTTTGAGTTTGAGATGAATGACAGTATGAATGTGTTTGGTAAAATTATAAAAATGTTACAGGAAGCTCAGTATGATTTTTGCAGGCAGGAATTTATTCTAGATTTTGGATGACAGATCATGTTTGGTTGCGGGAAAAGGGGTTTAAAATAGCTCATTTGAATGTGTGCAGTTTGAGAAATAAGGTGGCGGTTATTCAAGAAATTTTGCAAAGTTATAATTTACATGTGTTAGCAATATCAGAAACACATTTAGATGACACAATTAATAATGAAGTAGTAGAGGTTAGAGGCTATAATATTTATAGACTATATAGGAATTTGTATGGTGGAGATGTGGACTGTTATGTTCAAAATCATATTCCAGTCAGAGTAAGAACAGATTTCATGGTAACTTAAGTTGAGACACTATGGTTAGAACTGCAGATTCCTCATTTAAAAGCTGTCATTATTGGATGCTGTTACAGACCACCAAATGCTCCTATATACCACTTGGATCAGATAGGAGGTATGTTGGATAAGGCATGCGATCTGAGAGAAGAAATTTTTTTCCTAGGTGACTTTAATATAGACTGGAAATCAGGAAATTGTCCATTGAGGAATAAATTGTTTTCATTTACCAACATTTGTAATTTATCACAACTCGTGCAGGCTGATACTAGAACTCAGATGAAAAGTAATGGCAAATTTCCCGCAACTTTGATTGACTTAATTTTTACCAATATGGCAAATTTATGTTCTAAAGCAGTTTCGATTCCAGTGGGCTGTAGCGACCATAATTTAATTGCGGTAACAAGGAAAACAAAGATGCCTAAAAAAGGCCAATTATTTGTGTGCAGACGGATGTTTAAATATTTCAATGAAGATGACTTCATAGAAGATGTGAGGAAAATAAGTTGGACACAGGTTTTAAGTGAAGATGATCAATGCCAAGCAGTAGCAGTTTTCAATGAATAGTTCACAAAGGTGTTAGACAGACATGTTCCTGTGAGAAGGGTATCTGCTCCATGGTTGGATGAAGAATTAAAAGAATATATGAGGCAGAGGGATAAACTTAAAAATGAAGCAGTAAAAACTAATAGTCCAGATAAATGGAAAGAGTATCGTAGATTACGAAACTCTGAAACTAAATTAAATAATCATAAAAAACGGTTGTATTATCAAAAAAAGACTAACTGATGCAAAATCGGATAGTGCAAGATTATGGGGTACATTGAATGAAATGATTGGTAGGCATAATAGGTCAGCTCCAACTTTTTTGGATGTAGGGGGAACTTATCTCACTAAACCAACAGAAATTGCTAATTATTTAAACCAGTTTTTAACTAATAAAATTAAGTTTTTGCGAGATTCTATGGAAAATAGTCGAACCAAAAATATTTCCTATCAACTAATTAAACAAAAAATAATGTTAAATAAAAACTGCCAATTTCAATTTGATAAAGTGACTGAAGACAAGGTTAAGGAGATAATATTAAAAAGTAAAAATAAACCATCTGGCATAGATAATATTGATATAAAATGGTTAAAGTTAGTAGTAGATTTTATTTCATGTCCTATTGTTCATATTATGAATGGATGTTTTAAACAAGGTATTTTCCCATCTCAATGGAAAACAGCAATAATAATACCTTTAATTAAGAACAATAGAGAACCACTGTCTGGTCAAAACAGTCAACCAATAAGTTTGCTACCAGCTTTAAGTAAAATCATGGAAAAAATTGCATATGACCAAATTCAAGATTATTTTGAGGTAAATGAATTGAACACAAAATATCAACATGCTTACAAAACAAATCACTCAACCACTACTGCACTTATTCAAATAACTGATTATTGCTTAGAAAATATCGATAATAATAAGCTAATTGGTTCTATATTTATTGATTTAAGTGTGGCTTTTGATGTTTTAGATCATGATATTTTATTACAAAAACTTAAACACTATTGATTTCATACATCTGCTCTTAACTGGACTAAAAGTTATCTTACTGACAGAGAGTATCAATTTTATTTCAATGGCAGTTTTTCTGAAAAGGGTCTGATGGAATGTGGTGTTCCACAGGGGAGTTGTTTGGGATCTCTTTTGTTTTCTATTTTTTTGAATGATTTTCCGTGGGTGCTGCAACTACAGCAGTATATGCAGATGACATTACTGTTTTAGCTTCAGCACATATGGAGAGTGCATTGAATGAAATATTAAATAAAGAGTTAAGAACAGTTGAGCAGTGGATAACTGCTAACAAATTAGTGATTAATGCAGGAAAAACTAAATGCATGGTAGTTGGCTCCAAACATACTTTACAGACGATGCCAAAGTTACATTTAAC